ACAATTACTATGAAATTTTCGACATGCAAAACATATCGAAAAAATTACACTTCATGATTTTCTACTAACAATAGTAGTTGAGAACTTCTAAAATCTGATATTGTATATGAACAAACTGTTGATATATATATATATATATAATATATATATATATATATATATATATATATATATATATATATATATATATATATATATATATATATATAAATAAGTCGAATAGCATGATGAACAAATCATCATCTTATTCTTTCTCATATTAATTATTTGCAATTCAGCAACTATCTACTGATCCATTCAACTTAGAAACAACTAATAGCATCAAATAAAACCAATGAATTACATTAATTCACATATATAGAACAAATATAAGTAGAGCTAGTTCTCCGGAACGAATAACGAAATAGAAACAATCTACTAATTAGCCACCGCGAGTTTTTCCCACTTATCAGTAGTTAAAGAGATGTAAGCAGAGGCTTTCTTGTCAATCCCGGGCTCGGCCACCCACCGGCCTCTGTCCTCATCGCTTGGATAAACTTTGTAAGCCTTCACATACTCGTCTCTCGAATCGTCACCCCTTTTGGCCGAACGGGAATTTCTACCTTTGAAGAAACTGAACAAAGAGAAAGAAGATTTCTTCTGCCTGTTATTACCTGCCATGTTTTTTTGTTTTTATTTTTCTCTTACGAGAGAGAAGACAACACAACTATATATGATCTCGGAGGTTTTTAGTGTGTGTTGTGTGTGTGTTTATTTCTTGTTTTTTCAAATGGCTATGAGGTTGTGTGGAAGTATTTATAGTGGGATTTGGGAGATGATCCAAGGGTGGAGAATCTTGAGAAATCAAGGGCCATTGATCTGATTGATGGTTGTGATTACATGAAATGAAGTTACATAGTGTTGGGTTTTGGTTGTGTTAGTAAAAACTAAGGCAAGAGAACATGTTAATGTTGACTAATATGCTTCCAAAGTTTGACCATTACAACATGCACATTGGGAGATGCTTTCTAAAACTTTATTTTTGTTTTTGTGTCTTTTTTAACCCAACACAACATCCTTTCTTCCCTTGATTAGTATTGTAAATCATTGACCCCTTTTTTGAATTCTCTTATAAATGATTCTTTATGCATGTAACAACTTTAATTTGAAAATAATAGAGGTGTTCACTCTGCCGGTAAACTGACCGAACCGAAAATTTGGTACGTGCGAAATACAGAACCGAAAATTCGGTCAAGTATTTGGTAAATATTTTGTAGAATTCCAGTATTCGGTATGGTATACGGTGTTGATGCCCGATATATCATACCATACCGTACCGAATATCGAAATATTTTAAAAATATTCTTTTTTTTTTAAATTATTTAAGGTTATAATAAATTATAAAATACTTTCAGATTAATATCAATTTTTGTTTTTAGGGCCGATAATTAAAATTTGAATGTCAATTTCAAAAATTAATTAGTTTAAATATATTTTATTTACAGTTTTTTTTAAATATTTATATTATTTTTGATTTTGCAGTTATCGAACTGAAAAAATCGAATTAACTAAGTAAATAATCGTACCAAACCGAACTAATGGTACACATTTTTGAAGTACCAAATTCTCAGTTTACCAAAATTGCGGTACGGTCCGTTACGGTATTACTGAATGAACACCCCTACAAAATAAATATACTCATCTATTCAATTGACACGAGTATTTATCGTCAAATTGCGCCGGTTAAATTTGTTCGAATATAGGATCATGGTGCCATCGTTCATCATTGTATTGCATTACAGAAAATCTTATAAGTTGCACAAACTCTCCAAGATAAAAACCCTAAATTAAAAAAAAAAAAAAAAGAAGTCAGGGAAAAACAAAATATAATATTATTGTTGCTAAGTGAATTACGTGAAGCATTTTCCTAAAGCCAAATCTTTTGATTTCGAGTCTTAAGCAGAAAGAAAATGATAATTTTTTTTACTTTGACCTTCACTTTTTTTTAATAACGGCCAATAATTAATGTATGTAGACATAAAAATTATATTGCAAAGTAAAGCATTAAATATTGAAAAAGGAAAGCTTTTAAAAGCCTTTGTGTTTGTTTTCTTGAGCTTCATTGCTTGCAAGCTGTCTGGCTTTTGGGATTCTTAGAAATAAATATCTTTTAAATCCCAAAAATAAGAGCAAGAGATTATATAATTGGTCTAAATTAATTGTACTTAGAAACTACGGAAACTTATAATATTCCACATTTGCTTTTATAAAAAGCATTGCTTCACAAGTTCACATAATTTAATATAGATTGTAGTAACAAAAATCTATTAATTTAATGAAATATTGAATTATTAAAGATAAATTTTAGTACGTTTTATCGAGTTGGGACTGGAAAAAATTACTCCATCTGTTCCATAATATTTGTCTCTTTTAATAAAAAAATTTTGTTACATATTATATGCCACTTTATAATTCCAATGCTCCATAAGTTACATATTTTTCAATTATACACTTATTAACTCTCTAGCACCCTTTCTATATTATAATTAGTAAACAAGGGTATTTTTGTCTATCTATATCTACTTTTCTAAAATCAAGACATATTTATTGAGATTCTTAAAACTCGTGCCAAGGTGAAAAACGACACATATTTAGGAAATGATGGAGAATTATTTAAACGAGATTATTAATTCATTGAGTAGTAATTCATTGAGGTTCTACTGCATATGGTTTTAGTTATAGCTTATTGCATTTAATACTCATATGTTAAATCGAATTGGTAAAAAAAAACTCTTCATGTTATCAATATTAGCAAAAAACTTATGTATGTATTTTTTTTAGCATAAAAAACCCCAAATGGTGAGGCTTTAGGGGTAGTTTTGCTAAAAAGGATGAACCATAGGGAAGTGTTTGCTAATATTAATAATATGATTCGTTTTTTTTTTAATAATTAGAGTAAACATGGGGTGTTGAATGCAATAAGCCCATTTTAGTTAACTTGTTCTTGTTGTATTCACATTAACCAACTACTTAATTGTTCCACTAAAATTAATTTTGATTAAATTAAAAGTTGCTTAAACCATCATCTCAGAATATTTGTTAGGCGATTCAAGGTTCTTGGAATAATTTTTTTTGACTATAATTGGCAATCGATTGTTTGCTAGCTATAATTTAAATTCTTAATTATATGGGTTAAAAAAGTATATATAAACTAATATTATGTCGATTTCTATATAAATAGTATAGAGTATAGACCCAATCATAAGTGCTATTTAGCCTAATCAGCTAATTATCATTCGAAAAGAAAACACTAATCTTTTCATACATTTCCTTCACATTAACATCTCAGACTGTTCAGTCGGTTGGTAAATCGACCAAACTGTAACGAACAGAAAATTCAGTATTTGTCAAATATCGAATCGAAATTTGGTATTGGTATTCTCTTCTCTGAATTCCGATATTCAATACGATATAAAGTAATGATGTCCGGTATACCTTACCGTGCAGAATACCGGAATACTTCTTTTATTTTAAATCATTCGAGTTTGTAGCAAATTATAAAATTAGTTTGTGAAGCTCACTTCAGAAAATGGATAATCACTTCACATTAAGCAACCAATTTAAAAGTGAGCATGCTTGACAAAGAAATTCGGACTAGAATCATTTGAATTCGCAGTCTCTTGATCCACCAACTAGGCCATTCATTTTGGAGTTAATTGTTCCATCTAAATTTTAATAAACTGTTATCAACTTACGTAACATGAATTGTTTATGTAATAAAATTATAACCAAAAAAAAAATACTTAGCATGAATAAAACCAAAATTAAGGGACACATCCAAAAAATATAACTAATTTTCACTAATAATTATTTTGCTTTTTAAGAAATTATTATATTATCTCAGCATATAAAAAAACTGTTATTCTAGTTATTTTATTTATGACTTGATCCCACTTTGCACTCTCGAAATAGATCATTTTGGCACTTTGCACCATTAAAAAACAGTAATTCCATTTTGCACCTTCAAAACACAATAAATAATTTACAATGCACCATGAATTAAATAATAAAAAGAATTTTACTTTTTATTGGTTTTTTTTTTCGGGGTTCAAAATAACAAATTAAATTGTTATTTTTTCAATCTCCAACCTAATTTCGAGCGCACAAAGTGCAAAAAATTAAAAATCACACCGGATTATTGAAAAAAAATTATATTTTATTGCCAAAAAAAAAACATTTAACACTAAATTATTCGATTGATGGATCTTTTATTGTAATTGATGGAAATATTATGTAGAAATATTCGGAAGAAAATATGATTTTCAGGTAACTTGATAACCAAAATAGCTGAAGGTTTTTTTTATAGTAAAATATTTTTTCGTGATAAAATATAATTTTTTTAAATATGTTGATGAAATATATTTTTATTTTTTCACTTTATAGTTTGAAAATGGTTGATGAATAAAAAAAAATTGATTTCACATTTGGCATCCTACAAGAATACCACTAAAAATATTAAATTGTCTTTATTAGCTTTAAAAATTCATTTGGGGTGCATTATGCATGATATATTGTGTTTCTAGAGTGCAAAGTGCCATTAATTTGTTTCGATGGTGCAAACTGTCAAAAAGATATATTTCAAGGGTGCAAAGTGGGATAAACATTTTATTTAATAATAATATTCTGGTACGATATAATATAACCTTGTTACATACTTGGCATAGTAAACAACCTTGAATTTAATGACCTCTCAAGATTAGGAAAAATATATTTGTTTTCCATATAGATATATCATATATTGTATTATTGAGCAAAATATCCAATATGATTTCCCGACTATTGATTTATTGGAATGTACTTAAATTACAATATACATTACCATATTGGCTCATAAAATTCTCTCTATAAATAAATTTGAAAACAAAGAGTGTGAGATAAACAAAAGCAACAACATAAATATTTTCTTTAGCAAGAAAAACAAAAAATAAACTTCCATTTTTTCAATTTTGTATTAAGAAAAAATGGGAAGAAGCATCACCACCACTTTCCTTTGCTTTTTTGTGCTTATTGCTCTTGTTATTCCCAAAGGTTTAAGCCAAGAAGACAATAGATGTCCTTCGAAATCGATTGAGATTGTCCAAATTCAGACATCGACGACAGAGTGGAAGGTGAGTGTGACCAACACGTGCAGTTGCAGCGTTTATCATGTGAAACTTTTGTGCCCCAATTTCGAATCTGTAGTTGTTAGTAAGAATGATCAATCGGTCATCTCCGAAATTGGAAAGAGTGGCGTGTGTCTTTTTAACAATGGCAATGGATTCGTTGGAGATGCTGTCACTTTTACATATTCTGGCGAACGCATCGATTTTGCACTCGATACCTACGATGTAGCATGCTCTTAATTACATTTTTTTTAATATCTGTTTTTGGATGAAGATAAAACTATAGGTTATATGTTTAATTACATTATTTCTGAGAAATTGTGAGAGCATATGGTGTTAAATTGGATTCTCTTTTGTTATTTTACTCTTGCTCATGGTTCGCCTGAACATCGCGTAACATTGTCGTGTATATTGATGCTCCAGTTATATTGGAAAAAATGAATTAATTTAAAATAAGTTCGTAATTTTAGCATTACAATAGAATAAAGCTACAAAGGATCATTAAGCTCCAATAATATTTTTAGAACAATTCTTTAAACATGGAGAAGTACAAAAATGTACAAATAATGAAGACTAGAGTACAAATTTTAAAAACTTAAAAAAACTTAAATTATAATTGTGGTTGGTCGTTCCATTTGCCCCAAACAAATTACATTTAAATTCTTGTAGCTAATTATAAATTTTTGAAACTTTTAATTAAAGTTAAAATCAATATTTTGAAATCGGACTGAACATCGCTCTGGACAAGTTACTGAGTCGTGGTTGGACCGATTCAATCAGAGTTAAACCGGTTTTTTTCGTTTTTTTTGTTTTATAATTATTTTTACATAATTCTTATGGTAAATAAAACATATTTCCTTTCACACACATTAACTCGTTACTCATTTCCAAATGCTTTTTACACACACCATATGAACACACACATATCACACCGAATCATTTATAATATTATAGAAAATATAATAATAAATTAACATGTCTTTCAATTTCAAATAAATTTATTTTGATATTTTTTAAACTATGTAGTAAAAAGACGTCGTTTTAGCCATTTTATTTGTTTATTTTTACAAACAGAAAACTACATTGTGAAAAAAACTTAATCTTCACTTGGATTCCGATATTACGGTTTAACCGGACCGGGCAAAACAATTATTTGCGGTTTAACCGGTCGGTCCGATTCGGGTTTTAAAACACTGGTTAAAACCATAGTTTGACCTCGAGTCACCATTTCTTATTAAACTCTGACTATTACTAACCTAACAATATTCTAAATAAACACTGCAGATAAATGTTCTTTTATTAGTAAAATTAAATCTAGAGAAAGTATAGTTAAACCTCTTTAAACTAATATAATTAGGACCAACAAAATTCTATTAATTTAGCGAAATATTAAATCATCGAACTAATAATTTAATATGTTTTTATCGAGTCGGGACCAAGAGAAAATTATTATTAAAGCGAGATTATTAATTTATCGAGGTTCTACTGTAGGATGTGATCCTTGCGGCAAGAACAAAATTGAAGCTTTAGTTAAATTAATGGACAAATTACGGCCACCCCCAGATGTATGGCCAAATTATGAAAACCCCCTCTTGTTTGTGTATTTACAACCACCCACCCCACCTTTTAAATATTTTTACATAAAATTTATATAATTCGGTTATTTACCTAAACAAATCGTATATTTAGTTTGGTAGTATGAAATATTTTTAACATCCCTTAATTTACCTCTGGTTTTTTTTTTTTCTTTTGCAAGATAATACATAGTTGAGCGGTGAATGTAACATGTAAGTACTTAAACATGAGGGGGTTTTTCGTAATTTGACCATAATTTAGGGTGGCTGTAATTTCCCCTAAATTTATTTACACCAAACATATTGAAAGCTTTTCGTTTAAATTTATGAAAATAGAGAAACTGGGGCGAAATAAATACTTATCCAGCCCAAACGGGCCCAACTATCACTAATGCAAAGCCCAAATTCCCGGCTGAATAGGTAGCCGGTCACTGAAAATAATGACTTTATTATCATAATTTAATAAATATTTCGTATTGTTTGCTGAGAGTGGAAAACACAAAATTGAAAATCTAAACCCCAAATTCAAGTTTTCTGCTCAGTTTCTTCGATAAGGTATGCTTCAATCTACCAATAAAAAAAACATTTATCGTCTGTCGATATTTAATTCTGTACGTATTTTGTATGTATATATGCTTATGTATTTGTTTGGAATTTCTCCATGGTTGAACAATCGAAAAGGGGGAAAATTGAAGTGATTTAATTGATTTTTTTTATTTTTTTTATAGTTTGTTTTGGAATTGAGATTAATTTCGAAAAAACACATAGAAACAATTGTTTTACTTCAAAAAAATAAATTAATTATGAAATTGATTTTTTTTCGATTGAGGCTCGATAACATGAGCTGCTGGAAGATGTTGGATTGGTGCTTTGATGATTTAAGTAAATTAATATAGTCGGGACTAGCAAAATCGTATAAATTTAGCGAAATTATTACATTATCGGACTAATGATTTAGTGCATTTTTACTGAGTCGGGGCCGATTGGGAGAAATTATTATTTAAACAGGTTATTAATTTATCAGGTACTAATTTATAGTTTATAGTTTATTTTTGAATTGAGATTATTTCGAAAAACACAGAAACAATTGTTGTACTTCAAAAAAATAAATTAATTATGGAATTGAAAATTTTCGATTGAAGCTCGATAACATGAGCTGCTGGAAGATGTTGGATTGGTGCTTTGATGATTTAAATAAATTAATATAGTCGGGACTAGCAAAATCGTATTAATTTAGCGAAATTATTACATTATCGGACTAATAATTTAGTACATTTTTACTGAGTCGGGGTCGATTGGGAGAAATTATTATTTAAACGAGGTTATTAATTTATCGGGTATTAATTTATATATGTTTCTTCGTAATTGTTGTTAGGGTTCAGCCTTCGGAAAGATGGATGGTAAATGGTATAGTGGTAAACAGGAGATGCACAATAAACGGCAAGATAAAAAGGATGAGGTAACGGGCTATCTGAATTTTTAACTTATCTTTGTATGGTTTTATACTTATCTCGATTTTGTGTGGATGAATTTAAACGTTGGCTTCTACGAGTAGTTTAATGCAAGCACACTGGGTCGGGCTTTATTTTTCTGCATTCGACTTTCGGGCTCGAGTTTTGCAATCTGGTAGTGTAGTTGAGTGATAAAGTAACAGCAAAATGACGTGTTTTTCGTCGTTTCTTGGCATAGGCATACAATGCGACTGTTCTTGAGGATCTTGCTGAGGATTTTCGGCTGCCGATTAACCATCGAATAACGGAGAATGTAGATTTGGATAATGTGGAGCAAGCGTCTTTAGATACACGGATAACCTCGTCTAATGTCGGGTACAGGCTTCTTCAGAAGATGGGATGGAGAGGAAAAGGGCTTGGAAAGAACGAACAGGGTCCGTGTTAATGTGGATTGTTTATATTTTTTGAAGTTGGTTCGTAAATCGTAAGTTAAATCGAGAATATATATCGTGTTGTGTTTATTTTTTCAGGGATTGTGGAGCCGATAAAATCCGGGATAAGAGATGCAAGATTAGGCCTGGGTAAACAAGAAGAAGACGATTTTTTTACGGCAGAAGAAAATATCCAGCGCAGAAAGCTGGATATTGAATTCGAAGAAACTGAGGAACTTGCCAAAAAACGAGAGGTACCCCTTTTTAATTAACTTGTCCTAAATGTATAACCAAAAAAAAACGACAAAAAAAAAAAAAAAAAAAAATGTTTTAGACTAGTAGGTAATATAATATCGAGGTTGATGCTTTACTTTTGTTGGGAATGGTATATTACGTGCAGTTTGAGAATTTCGTGCAGTTTTTATTACCTGGTGGCTTCTTCTACTGCCTGCTTCGTGCACATTATTAAAATCCAGGTTGTAGCAGAGCGCGAACAGAAAATACAAACCGAGGTCAAAGAAATACGCAAGGTCTTCTATTGCGAGCTTTGCAACAAGCAATATAAATTAGCCATGGAGTTTGAAGCTCACCTTAGCTCCTACGATCACAACCACAGAAAGGTTTTTTTTTTTTTTTTTTTTTCTTTTTCTTTTTTTCCCGTTCGATGCATATGTTACCAAATTATCGATTGTCTTATCAAATTGAAGTTCGTTATTTTTTTTTAAATTTTTTTTAGAGATTCAAACAAATGAGGGATATGCATGGAAGCAGCAGTCGGGACGATAGACAGAAACGAGAACAACAACGTCATGAAAAAGAGATGGCAAAATTTCTGCAAATGTATATTATTATTAATATTATTATCTTGAAACTCGTTTATTTTATTTATTTATTTACACTAGTAAAAATTATTGAATAATATTTATTTGCTCTATAACAGGGCTGATGTGCATAAGCAGCAGCAACAACAGACGCAGAATCAGGAGGAAAGTGGGACCCACACAGCTCCTCCTGCGGTAACTAGCGGTGCTACTAAAGTTACCGACCAAGATCAGCGGAAAGTTTTGAAGTTCGGGTTTTCTGCCAAAGGCAGCGCTGTCAAGGTATCCACTCGTTTCTTTGTGCTGATTGGCCCCTATTATTATTAGTGTTTGATTTTCTCGATTCTTGAAAAATATTGTTAAGTCTTGATGTTTTCATTGAGCAGAGCTCTGTTAGCAATACAACTAAGAAGCCGAAGGTCGCTATTGCCTCCATTTTTAGCAATGACAGTGATGAAGAATAGGGAATTTCTGTTATATATATATATATATATATATATATATATATATATATATATATATATATATATATATATATATATATATATATATATATATATATATATATATATCCAAATACTGAACGAGCACAGGACCAAGACCAACGTGCACTCAGAGTGTATTTTATGACCTTAATGTCCTTTCAAAGCTGTTGGTCCATCTGGCGGAGGAATGCTGTAAGTATCGACCCCTTTTCGTAAAATTTAATTTACTTTCTTCATCTCAATTAATAGAATAACTTAAACTTGTAAATATTTATAAATATGTAAACTCAATTCATGCAGATTTTCGTGGGGGCAGAAACGCCAGTATGCTAATTTTCTTCCAGGTATATATTTTTTCACTAAAGTTTATTGCGAGTGATGCAATATATATATATATATATATATATATATATATATATATATATATATATATATATATTTATATATATATATATCCAATTACTGTGAGGAGCTCAAAAAAACGCCTGCTTGTACTCGTAGTGTATTTTAACTGTTTTTTCTCCCTTCAAAACTGTGAGTATCTTTTCTCTAAGATGTCGTTTGGAACAGTGACTAGCATCTGGTAAACACGATTCGTTTTACGGGAATCAGTCCTGTATTGCGTTGATCTTTGTCTAATCTGTGGATTTATTTTTCGTGACGAAACATCTTTTGAAGTAACGGTGGAGACTGGAACTGCTAATACATCACGGGCTGCAGCCACGTATTTATCGAATCCTTCAATCAAATCCATAGATGGACTTCAGTATCCTCGTAAAATTTTCGACAACAACTTAGCACTCTCCCAACCACAATTCGTCGGAAACCCAACATAAGGCGGCTTTGATAGATCAATTTTTATACCCAAATTCTCGTATGCATCAAAAGCTAATTTACGGCATGTGGCCGACTTCAACATCAAGTTAGTAGAATCCAAACCTAACAATCAATTTTTTGTTTCCAATTTTTTCATAGCAACACATTCTTGAAATATTTCGTACTTGGTTGGAGAGCTTCGAACATAACTTATGGCTCCTCTAATACGAGAAACAACCAAATGTACTTCTTTTTCTTTCGAAAAATCTTGTACACCTAAAATATTCGTACCCCACTTATCAAATAATTTAAGCAAGTATGTAATTTGAAGCATCGTTCGAAGAACCATTACCAACCGTTACTATGAGAATCTTGTCGAAACCCCATTTAAGCAAAACACTTTTCCACCACTTCACCCAATTCCTCATTCTTACGTCCAAAAATTCAAATTGGCGGAAATTGGAATCCGGAAATCGGAAATTTCGTTCAGATGTCAACCCCGAGGATTATGGATTAATCGGACTCGACTTAAATACAATCGACCAATCGGGTCGATCGACTCCCATTCATAATCTTATTCCCAAGTAATAAATCAAGGAAATTACATCTTTGACTTGATTAAAATCTGATTCACAACAACTTGTTGAATTTGAAAAATCTCTCTCACATGACAGAAAAACAATAAAGCTACATGGCCAGATTCTGGCCAGCCAGAAAATGGCAATTTTGTAATATTGGAAAAAGTTATAACATATAATTACTATTTTGCCCCTCTATACAGTTAATATTTTAATTTGAATACTTTGGTAACCCAGGGACCCAGATATTAAATAAGATTATGTTACCAAAAAACGTTGTAGTCCAGATTCGAACTCGGGGGTCCCGCTTGCACACAACAACTAACAAACCACCGGGACAGATCAAATGCTTAGAACATTATTACGAAATATATATATATAACAATTATGTAAAATGATTTATAATTGTTATTTAAATAATGCTAAATAAATTACTAATTTTCCTATTTACTATTATTCAGTAATATATTAATAAATGTCATATATAAATTTAAAAAATATAACGAGTCGCTGTTCGACCTCCCCAAATATCTATCATTAATTATTATATTCAATATTATTATTATTATTATTATTATTATTATTATTATTAATAATCTCCACTATTGAAAAATACAAATAATTGAATTAATTAAATATATGCAAATGCATGACTTAATACAAGCTCACTTATGTTATTAAAATCGATAGTGTGATAATTTTTAATAAAAAATAATATCAGATGTTTATTTATAAAGTATATATGAGGATTATAATAATATTATATGTGATTTTTCTTTTAATATTTAGTTAATCAAATAGTAAGATTTGGATTAATTATGCTCAAGTCCTATCAATTCTTAAACTTTTTTCAAAAATTTTAATCGATTGACATCAATTATTGACAATAACATATTGAAATGATTGATTATTCTATATAGGACAAATATTGACAGTAATATATTTATAAAAAAAATGTAGATGATGTTTATTTTAAAGAAAATAGATCATAACTCATTTCAATTAATCTTCCTACTTTAAAATAAAACTATAGATGATTAGTAGTATTAAAATATTATGTTGTTATTTTTATTTTAATACTTGGTATAATTGTATTTTAGAGGGAGAAAGTGTTGACAAAAACATTTAATGGAACTAACTAATTATAGTTAAAGTATAATATATTTTTAATTGAATGAAAAGAAGAAATCAATTTCTCTTATATTTCAATTGAAAGAGGAAGATAGTATATATATACATACTACTGACGTAAATTAAGGCCTAAACTAAATCATATATATGATATTATTGCCTATATACAATATTATATATATATGTAAACAAATCACAGAGATTGGCGGAGAGATTGACAGATCCCAAACTTAGTGCGTTGATTTCATTCCTTAACACTCCCCCTCAAGTTTGGAATGTACGTTGATAATTCCTAACTTGTTCAACAGATATGAAAATTGTGGGGAGCTTAATGGTTTCGTAAAGATGTCAGCAGGTTGTTGTAACGTAGATATGTGTTTCACCTTGAGCACTCCTTTTTGGACCTTTTCCCTTACATGGTGACAATCAATTTCTATGTGTTTGGTTCGCTCGTGAAAAACCGGGTTCGAAGCAATATGTAATGCTGCTTGATTATCACAATATAGGTTGGCAGGTTGTGAATGATGTATACCCAAGTCTTTTAGAATAAATTTCAACCAAGTGATCTCACAGCATGTTGTGGCCATCGATCGATATTCGGCTTCTGCGCTAGACCGTGACACTGTAGTTTGCTTCTTGGTTTTCCAAGAAATCAACGAATTTCCAAGAAATATGCAGTACCCTGTAACAGACCTTCTTGTATCTCAACATCTAGCCCAATCCGCATCACAAAAGGCATTTAATTGAATCGGACTATCTATGGGAAGAATAATTCCTTGGCCTGGTGTTTGCTTCAGATAGCGTAATACGCGATGAGCTGCTTCTAGATGTGGAACTCGTGGCTTATCCATAAATTGACTTAACACGTGAACTGGGTACGCTAAGTCCGGTCGTGAGATAGTCAAATAGATTAGTCGCCCAACAAGCCTGCGATACGAAAGAGGGTCACTAATTTCATCACCATCAAATTTGCTGAGTGATAAGTTTTGTTCCATAGGAGAAGTGACTGGTTTTGCCGCTAGATATCCCACATCTTCGAGAATTTCGAGAGCATATTTTCTTTGCGAAAGGACAATGCCTTTGTTGGATCGTGCAACCTCTATCCCAAGGAAAAACTTCAACTGCCCAAGGTCCTTCAACTTAAATTGATCGCTCAAAAATAACTTGGTTTCTTCAATATCTTGCAGATTGTTTCCAGCTAGGATTACATCATCCACATAAATGAGAAGGGCGGTGAATTTACCATCTTGGGATCGGACGAATAAAGAATAATCGGCCTTTGATTGTTTGAATTTGGCACCTTTGAGAGCAGTGGAAAGTTTAATAAACCATTGACGAGAAGCTTGTTTGAGACCGTACAGTGACTTTTGAAGTTTACAAACTCGTGTCTCCCCCTTTCGTCCGAAACCAGGGGGTAAGGCCATATAAACATCCTCGTCAAGGTCTCCATTCAGAAAAGCATTATTGACATCGAGTTGGTGAAGATGCCAATTTTGAACTGATGCCACCGCAAGGAGAAGACGTACAGTCACGAGCTTTGCAACTGGAGCAAAAGTCTCATTGTAGTCTAATCCTTCAACTTGATTATATCATTTTGCTACGAGTCTCGCCTTGTAGCGTTCAATGGAACCGTCGGATTTGAACTTAATCTTGTAGACCCATTTACACCCAACTAGTTTCTTTCATTGAGGAAGGGCTTGAAGGGACCATGTTTTGTTTGCCTCAAGTGCTGCAAGTTCTTGCTCCATAGCAAGGCACCAGTTAGGGTCACGAACTGCCTGCGCATAAGTTGATGGTTCTTTCTCTGTCGAAAGAGAAGTTACGAAAGCACGGTGTTTGGGTGACAATTTATCATATGAAATGACACTAGATAAAGGATAAGTAGTACCTTGTGCTTGAACCATGACCGAGTTAGATGATTGGACGTTCCTTGAGGGAAGAGAAATACCAACATGATACTCACGCAGATAACTAGGTGTCTTGATGGCACGGGTCGGTCGTGAAGAATGAATTTCTTGAATCGGGGACAAGGTTGAAGTAGGTTGTTCGGTGTCTGGAGGAGTTATATTGGATGGAATAGTCTGGGAAGAATTTTCAGTATTTTCTTGAGAATTTTCTTCTTGAAGCAGGTGGTTGGATGAGAATGTTTCGGCATTGTGGGAAAGTTGTGTAGTAACATTATAATCATCATCATAGGTGGGTGGAGGATAATATAAATGAGGTATTTCGGCAGCGGAAGTGGAAAGAGGAAAAGTATCTTCATGAAAAACTACATCACGTGAGACAAAAACTTTGCCAGATGAGAGGTCATATACTTTGTAACCCTTTTGAGCGTATGGATATCCCAAGAAGAGACATTTTGTGGCTCGTGGATCAAATTTGGTGAGGCGTTGATGATGTGTTGAAACGAAACATAAACATCCGAACACTCTTAAATGGTTATAGACAGGCTGTTTTTGAAAAAGTTTTTCAAAAGGTGTTTTCCCTTCAAGAAGAGGTGTTGGGGTTCGGTTAATGAGGTATGTAGCAGTTAAGATAGCATCTCCCCAAAATTTTTTAGGAAGATTAGCCTGGAATAGTAAGGCTCGGGCAACATTGAGGAGGTGACGGTGTTTTCTTTCAGCTATGCCATTTTGTTGTGGAGTGGAAACACAACTGGTTTGATGAATGATGCCTTTATCGAGATAAAAGTTTTTCATTGTAAACTCAGGCCCATTATCACTTCGAAGGATTTTTACTTTCAAGGAGAATTGTGTTTCGACAAGGTTGATGAATTTAGTGATATAGGAATGAGTATTTGATTTTTGATGCATCAAATAAGTCCACGTGCAACGAGTGTAATCGTCAACAATTGTGAGAAAGTATTGTGCCCCATCAATTGATCGAATATGATACCCTCCCCAAATATCGACATGAATTATTTCAAAAGGAGTTTTAGTACAAGTGGAACTTACTGAAAAAGGTGAACGAGTTTGTTTGGCTAACGGACAAATTAAGCAACCAAAAATATCAGAAAACTTCATGTCTTTTATTGAGTGAGATAACAAACTAACTATCTTATTTGATGGATGACCAAGGCGTTGGTGCCAAATGCTCGAGGAGTGAGAGAGGGGTGAGGTGATTGCAGAACATCTAGTTTTGTTGGGAGTATCAAGGTAGTAAAGTCCTCCTCGCTCAGTTCCTGTCCCAATCATTTTCCCCGATCGTCGGTCCTGTAGCATACAAGTATTATCAGTGAATATGGCAAGATACCCAGAACCACGCACAAACTTGCTAATCGAAATCAAGTTTAATTTGAAAGAAGGAACGCAAAGCACATCACGCAAGATAAAATCAGAAAAATGTATATCCCCGATATGTGTGACTGCAGCAACGGCTCCATTTGGCAGGTGCACGGTTCTATTTGCGACGGGAGATTTTGTGCTCAAGAAATCAGGCGAGTAAACCATATGATCTGTGGCTCCTGTGTCGAGAATCCAATACAGTTCTCTATTGATAACATATGCACAAAAAATATTACCTGATAAATCACTCATAGCAGACGCAGTACCAACGTGATTGGCCATTGAATTAGACTTGAGCAGCGTCATGAGATTTTCGTATTGCTCCGCCGTGAGAGAGTACGGTGTGGATGGTGCTGGTGTAGTGGCGTCTACGTGATTAGCCTTCGACGAAAAATTCTTGCGCTCGTGTTTGTTGCTTAAGGAATTCGTCCTTTGCAACTTTCGACACATGTCGATATTGTGACCTTGCAAGCCGCAATAATCACATTTCAAGTGTGATCGGCATATTTCAGAAGCATGTCCAATTTTGCCACATGTTCCACACTTGAGGTGTGGATTCTTAGCCGTGAATGTCCCCTCATACTTTCGTGGGTTATTCTTTACCGCAAAAGCCGAGGCCTCAACCAATGGGATGTCTCCATTTGATTTTCCTCGTTGTTTTTCATCTTGCAGAATGAGGGAATGAGTTTTGCTGACAGTAGGAAGCGGATCCATGAGCAAAATCTGCTCTCTTGTACTGGCGTAGATTTCGTTGAGGCCCATAAGAAATTTCATTGTCTTCTGATTTTGTTGGAATTGCAAAATATCCTTCATAGCCCCACATGTGCATTTTGGGATACTAGATAGTGCTTCACGTTCATCCCACAATCCTTTAAGCTTTGTGTAATAAGCTCCAATGGACATGTTTCCTTGTTTACAGTCATGTATGGCTTCTTCAACATGAAAAAGGTGTACACTGTTAGTGCGTGAAAAACGATCTTTTAGGTCGGACCAGATTTCTTCGGCACTTTCATTGTATATTATACTTGCTCCAATCTCTTGTGAGATTGAATTAAAAAGCCACGCCTTTACGAGATTGTTGCAGCGTCTCCATTGTTGGAGTTCTGCAATGGAAGTCTCCGCCGGTTCTTTGATGTCGCCGTTGACGAAACCTTCCTTGTTCTTGATGTTGAGAGCCATGAGCATAGCACGACTCCAAGTGCTGTAATTTTCGCCATTTAATGGCTGTGTTACGAGTATAAGCCCGGGTTGATCGGAATGATGGAGATAAAGGGGTTCATTGGGATTATCAAACTTATTGACTGCAAATTTGGCTGATTTTGATTCATCTCCTGCCATATGTGTTAGCAAGGGGAAAACATATAATTTTATGAGTGTGGAAATTTAAAGGTTTCAGAATCGTATTTGCTCTGGTACCATGAAAAGAAGAAATCAATTTCTCTTATATTTCAATTGAAAGAGGAAGATAGTATATATATACATACTACTGACGTAAATTAAGGCCTAAACTAAATCATATATATGATATTATTGCCTATATACAATATTATATATATATGTAAACAAATCACAGAGATTGGCGGAGAGATTGACAGATCCCAAACTTAGTGCGTTGATTTCATTCCTTAACATTATATCATAAAAAGTAATACAATATAATTCGTAAAAATCGTAAGAATCAAATTGTCAATCATAAGATTTGAATCGATTAAGTTTTCTCCATTGCAACCCATTTTCAAAAAAGTGATGTAGGTGAGAATATTTCGTTCTTTTTTGTAATAATAATAATAATAATAATAATAATAATAATAATAATAATAATAATAATAATAATAATAATAATTCGTCCTTTTTTTGTTGTTGTTATTATTATTATTATTATTATTATTATTATTATTATTATTATTGAAACTCGTAGAATTGATATAATGTATTCTTTTTTACCGTGTAAAAACTAAAAATGTAGAATTGAGTGGTTCTATTTTTTAGGAGGGAAAATAGGGAGAGAAATTAGGAAGAGATTTTAGAAACAAAAACAATTAAGGGCATAAATGGTATTACATATATAAAAAAAACAAAAAAAGTGAAATAAATGCTATTTTGGCCAGCCAGTTTCTGGCTATTTAGCAAAGTCCACAGAAAAAAATGTCAACTGTGTAACTCTTTGCTTCGTTCCATTTTCCACTAGTTTATGTTTCTTCAATCTTGATTCCCTCAAACAATTTGTTTTTTTTATTCCGCAATTGTCGAAATCCATGTCATCCACTTTCTCTCTCTACTCTCTCTCTACATTTGTTTATAGAGAGTAGAGAGAGATAGAGAAAGAGAATTATGCCCTTCACCACTTCCCCCAAATGGCCGCCGACGACGACGAAAACCCCAAACCCGGATCCAATTACATCACCCAATCGGAGCTCCGCTCCGAATTCTCCCACCACGACCCGACAATCGCCCGGATCAACAACGGCAGCTTCGGCTGCTGCCCCGCCACCATCATCGCCGCCCAGCAGCGCCACCACCTCCTCCTCCTCCGCCAGCCCGACTACTACCACGCCAAGCTCCTCAAACCCTCAATCCTCCACTCCCGCCGCCTCATCCAAACCCTAATCAACGCCGACCGCGTCGACGAGATCTCCATCGTCGACAACGCCACCACCGCCGCCGCCGTCGTCCTCCAGCACACCACCAGCTCCTTCTCCCTCTCCTCCACCTTCCGCCCCGGCGACGCCGCCCTCATCCTCCACTACGCCTACGGCGCCGTAAAAAAATCCGTCCAGGCCTACATCACCCGCGCCGGCGGCCACGTCATCGAGGTCCACCTCCCCTTCCCGGTCAAATCCGCCTCCGAGATCGTCCTCGAATTCCGCAAAGCCCTCCGTACCGGCAAATCGAACGGCCGGAAAATCCGGCTCGCCGTAATCGACCACATCACCTCAATGCCCTGCGTAATAATCCCCGTCAAGGAACTCGTCCAAATCTGCCGGAACGAAGGCGTCGACACGATATTCATCGACGGGGCCCACGCAATCGGAAACCTCCCGATCGACGTGAAATCCATCGGCGCGGACTTCTACACGAGCAACCTCCACAAGTGGCTGTTCTGCCCACCGTCCGCCGCTTTCTTGTACTCCAAGCAAACATCCGACGAACTAATGGACGCAGCCACCGCCTGGATGGGCACACGAGACTACAGCGCGCAGCTCGTCCTGCCCGAGGTGATCGAATTTGTAAATAGATTCGAGGGGGGCATTTCGGGAATAATGAAAAGAAACCACGATAAGGTGGTCGAGATGGGGGAGATGCTAGCCGGGGCGTGGGGGTCGGAATTGGGGGCGCCCCCCGAAATGTGCGCGAGCTTGGCTATGGTGGGGTTGCCGATTTGTTTGGGGGTGAAGAGCGATCTCGATGCGTTGAAATTGAGGAGGCATTTGAGGGAGTGTTTTAAGGTCGAGGTTCCGATTTATTATCGGGCCCCTTTGGAAGGGGAGGTCGATGATTCGGTGACGACGGGTTACGTGAGGATTTCTCATCAGGTGTATAATGTTGTCGACGATTATTACAGGCTTAGAGATGCTGTTATAAAGCTGGTCGAAGTTGGTTTCACTTGCGCTCTTCTTTCCAAATGACGAGGTACTCGATCTTTGCTTATAGTTTATGATAAATGCTTTACGATACACGTAATTAGTCAGTGCTTTGGGTATTTGTATTTTTCGATAAATTAGGTTGTTACGCAACAGCAGAGTTTCATAGCTTATAAGTTATATATATAGACGATTCAATAATATAGATCATCTTTCCCGATTTTCTGGTTTAACATGGTATAAAGAGCGGGTTAGAACGTAAAAAATAAATAAAAACGGAGAGAAAATAAATAAATAAACAAAAAATAAAAATATAAGAAATCGTAAAACTCCGTCGCATTATCTCCAACACTCGTCAACGAGGTTTACGAGAAATAACTAGTGCAGTCATAATTCCTTAAATACATGTCGAATTATTGTTTGCAGCTCGATTCTCTATTCTCGATTCTTGTCGTTTTAAATCGTTTCTAATTTTTAAGTGATTGGTCACCCAGAAATGCTTTTAAGTTCTTTCATCTTCGGTTCTTGTGTTTATTCTTTCTTTTTCATACTCTGGATTTAGCTCAGCCGTTTCTGTTTTTAGGCACAAATAATCGGTTATTGGTTTCATCGATAATGTGTAAAATAATATGTATGTTACACTTTATCGGAAAACGAAATGCTATATTTAACAAGATTCGTTTTATTTTGGTTGCAGTAGTTGGAGAAACGGGTACAGTTCAAGATTGACGAAACTTGGTCGTGCTGGATTTTACGATAACTAGGTTTGGATGGTTTTTTTCTACTACTCACTAAAGAAACTAACTTGACCGTTTAGCGCTCACTTTTTATCCGTCGTTTTAATGAAGTAATTGAGTTGGGAATATTACTTTGTGATGCATACCTTTGAATGTATGTCACAATAAAGATCATCGTTGTTACATGTTGATCGTTTTTTTTCTTCCTCGCTTGCGAATTCGTTATATTTTGACACGATTAAATGTACGTTGTACGAGTGCTCCTTGAAATTGACACGATATAATCACGTGGTGCACGCGATGCGTATTTTATACTTAAAAACATCTAAAATTGCAAAATGGTGGGAAAAAATGAAGAAAATCTCAGTTTAGAGATGAGAGTGTAAGTTCTGAATATCTCTCTTTTCTGTTAATAGAAATCTTAAAATTCAGGACTAAGTTGAAAAATCTGAAAATTCAAGAAATCCTAATCAGATTTTAATTTTTATTCATGCAAACTGGTCGTGCCCCAAATCGGAACTGATTTAAAATTTGGGACTTAATTGCAATATCTAAAGTTTTAATCAAAACACTAATTAATTTGACTTCTCAACCGTTTTCTGCAACCCTTTTAATATGAGGGCAAATGGCAAAGAGGGGTTGATAAAGGAGTTAAATACACATTGGTCAAGATAAAAAACAGTCTTTCAAGTAAACTCATCGTCATGTTTTTTGTCTAAAATATCTTTCATAAAATATTTTTTATCAATTCTATCCATTATAGTCTAACTTCCTCAATATTACACATTGACCTCGAATTTATACAAATATATTACATTAACAACCATTTTAATAATTTTTTGAATAGATAATTTTTTTTCAGAAAATAATATTTTTTCTGAAATTTTTTTTTCCAGCCAAATTTAGGCGTTGATTTTTTTTATTTTTACTTTTTTTTTCTGAATTTTTTTTCCGACCGGTCAACCGCCGTTGACCGTCGGTCTCCAATGATAACTTTTTTTTTTTGAATTTTGAATTTTTTTGAAATTTTTTTTTTAAAAATAATTATTTTAATTAATATTACTCTCTTGGCTGCTAATTTACTGTCTCCAACAGTAATTTAACTATCGGAGACAGAAATTTAACTGAGACAGTAATATTGAATACCAAAACAGTAATATTATTAATATTACTGTCCCAAATAATAAAATTACTGTCAGAGACAGTAATATTATGGATATTACTTTCCGACTGTCCCAAACAGTAATATTATTGCATGAGACAGTAATAGTACGGTCGGATAAAGTAATATTACGGTCGAAGACAGCAAAATTACTCGCCAATACGATAAAATTAATCAATATTAGGAAAATTACTGTTTCAGATAGTAATATTACTGTCTAAGACAGTTAAATTACTATTAGAGACATTAATTTAGCAGGCAAGACATAATATTAATTGAAATAATTTTTTTAATAAAAAAAATTCAATTAACAGTTAAATTACTGTCTCCGACAATTAAATTACTGTTGGAGACAGTAATTTTGCATCCAATATAGTAATATTAATTAACATTATTTTTTTTTATGAAAAAACAAAATTTAAAAAAAACAAACAAACTCAATTAACAAATCAAATTACTGTTGGAGAAAGTAATTTAGCACCAAGACAAAATACGTTTTTAAGGAAAAAAAAAAGAGTCAATGCTGGAGAACGGCGGTTGACCTGGTGGAAAATTAATTTAGAAAAAAAAAAGTCAACGCCGGAAACCGACAGTCTCCGGCGGTGGCGGGTCAAAATTGGAATATGGTCAAAATTGGTTAATTGGTGAAATTGGGGTGTAAATCATGAAATTGAAGTTGAATTGGGTTTCAAGGAATTGGGGGTAATTTTGGTATATATAAAAATGATTTTCCTTATTTGCAAATAAATTTGAATGAGGTGGAATTATTTGAAAGACAAAAAAAGTTGGATGTCCTTTTTTTAATTAAGTGTCATTGTCATGAGCCTCTTTGCCATTAACCCTTTAATCTATGGGCTTAAGATATAAGTTACTAGTGACAAAAATGCATTTTTTTCACAATTCGAAATCTGCATAAAGTAAAATTCAAATTGCATTTTATCGAATTTGTAGTCTGCATTTAATATTTTCATTTTCCCAACCATCATTCTTTAATTTCTTTTTTATGCAAAACACATTTGTCCTTTTCTTTTTCTTTTATTTCTTCATTTTAGCATTTTTTTACACTATTAAAATAATTATTTTTTTCTTTTCATAATGTTGAAGATTACGACAAAATTATTTTTCATTTTTGTAAACTCAATTTACATATTTTATAATATTTTTTTTTTGATTTTATTTGCTGTTAATACTGTAGTAAACTATAGTACATTACGGTGTACTATAGCATACTATGGTGTAATATACTAGGTGTACTATAGTTTACTAGGGTGTATTGTTACCCTAGCAGCAAAACAACTCTCAGTCGTCGCCAAACCCTCGCCGCCAACAACTCGCAGCCGCCGCCAATCCCTAACAACTCGCAATTGCCGCCAACTTCTATCCACCAAAGCCTAGCCGCCAACCAAAACCCTAGCACCGTCAAAGAGCCCTAGCTTGATGCAACCACCTCCCACTGTAGATCTAACCTCACACCACCGTATCTAATGGCCATCTACCACCATAACCATCTGCTCTATAACCACGACAACCACTGTCTCTCTCAACCGTCATGGGCCATGAGTCGCCGCTGCCATTTGTAGATCCGTAGTTCTCCAACGCCGCCACCCACCATACCCACCATAACTTAATGGATGGAGAGAGAGAGAGAGAGAGAGAGAGAGAGAGAGAGAGAGAGAGAGAGAGAGAGAGAGAGAGAGAGAGAGAGAGAGAGAGAGAGAGAGAGAGAGAGAGAGAGAGAGAGAGAGAGAGAGAGAGAGAGAGAGAGAGAGAGAGAGAGAGAGAGAGAAAAAAATAAATCTGTTTGGTTAGAAAATGTGAGATACTATATTTAGGGTATAAGGGCAAACTAGAGATAAAATAAAAACTAGGGAAGTGGATCATATATTGTTTCAATATAGGAATTTAATTAAAAGATTGAATTTAAGGTTGTCATTTAGTTCAAATTAGGTTTCATTCAATGACTCTTAGCATATTACACCTTTAATGTAACTAGTATACTCCTATCGTTAAAAAAAAAGAAAAAAAAAGGACTAGTATTTCCCCTGCGTTATGTACCGGGATGACATTCCAAAAGAGAGAAAAAATAATGATTTAAACACGTGACATTAAAAATTGGTACATTTGAAGAAAATATTAAGAGAAAAGTCATTCATAAGCGAAATAAAATAAATAATTATAAAAATATCACTAGAGTTGTTAGAGTGTTTTTGTAGAGATTTTTTTTTAATAAAGATGCCATTAACAAAAAAGGGTAATAATAAAGAAAGTGGAAAATCAGAAAAAAAAAATTAATAAGAATATTAGTTGGAATTTTTTTACAAAGATGATATAAGGTTGTCTGGCTATATCTTCTTTTATATATAAGATTATAAAATGTCATTATAATTGATCTATAGGTAACTAGCGTTAACTCCTTTTTTATATATAAGATCGCTATGACTTCTCACTTTAAGTAATAATCCAAGTAATGTAATTGACAACAAATTGAATGTAATCGGCTACAAATTTGTTACACAACCTAAACAATTTCTCGTTAATCTTAGTTTATAGAGAGTTAGATAATATTAAGGAGGTGATCTTATAATAAAAAGAATGTGACATTTCTTCGAGATGTTAGTTTCCAATCGAGATTTATTTATACATGATTCCTCTAGCAATGTACCCTACGAGTCTACAATACGCAATTATGGACTTTATTATGTAGCTAGAATCAGTTCTACAGAAAATCTTATTTTAATCAAGGTTTCTAAACAAATACGAGTCGGATCGGAGACGATTAGACACCGCCTTACGGTCAATCGCCGAGGCACTGATTAAAGTGTGATTTGTTTGCATTTTGATTTTGGTGAAGAACTTTTGTTAATGTAACATCGAAATCATATGTGAGAGAGAAATTTTTTAAGTTCTTTTCCAAATATATTCTAAAGTCAAATTTCAAAAGTAAAACAAACGCAAACTTTAGTGATATTTATCAACATAGATAACATACAATTAAAATAATGCTAGAGGTGGGGCTGTTTTGCAGTTAATATAAATATTGTGCATAAAATCTCATTAACGGAAAAAAGAATTAGTGCATTTATCCATTTACGTATTTATTATCAAACAATTGATAAAAAAAAGGAAACTCATTAACCAATAAAAAGCCACTATTTTAACATGTTGGAGAGATAAAATTTGAAAACTAATAATATAAAATCAATTAATTAATAATATAGGTGATTATGGTAAGTGGAGTTTTTTGAAATTATTTAAACTATGTGGACTTAATCTCTTCAATTGGAAAAAAATGATTGTGTATCTTAGTTTTTTATATAATATAAATTATTTCGTACAACCTAATTTAACTTTTTTAATATTATTTTGGTATTTAAATCTCACAATTAACTATTTTGATATTGTGTGATTTAATTTTTTTAATACAATTTAATCATTGTATATTTAAATTTTCTTGGTTTTTGCAATGTTATTATGTGCATCGCACGGGGAGAATCACTAGTTATCTAATTTATAACTATTATAATATAACAATTATTTTTTCACAAAATTTTCGAATATTCGAAATTATTTTCGACAATTTCACTGGATCGAAAATCGGATTTTCCAGTAATTTGATTTCGAAATATTTCCTAAAAAAATAAAAATTGAATGATTTTTTTATTTTTTTTTTTGAATCGAAAAATTTCCTAAAATAGTTCCTAAAAAAATCGATTCAAATATGTCCTAAAAATATAAAAATTGAATCAATTTTTTTTTATTATAAATCGAAAAATTTCGGGTCGAAACTAGGCTTGCTTGTAAATTTGGGGGGTGAAAACGTCCTTATTTACAAAAATATATTCATGTTTCCACAATTGGAACACTATATTTAACCATCTTCCCTTTCATTCATTCATTCAATCAATCAAAACTCTCTCTCTCTATGATTCTTTTGTGCATCCGGTAAATATAAATCAATTCACAATCACAACTACTTTCAATTTCTTTGGGAACTGTATCTTTCTCTCACTTCAACACACACTAGAAAAAGATTTCTTTACCGCACGACTCCGCCCCCCGCCCCCCTTTCGCCATTCCTTTGCGAGAATTTTTTGCTTCACAAATTGAGGAATTTATCGGGCAGCCCTTTTCGCTATTTATTTTTGCCCTAGAGGTCCAACACTTTGCCGAAAAGGTACTTTTTTTTTTTTTTTCAATTTTTAATTTTTTTGTGGTTTTAGGGTTTGTGGGTTTGGTCAATTTACGACTCGATTTTTGTTTGTCGAATGTATTTGGTTGTGTTTTTTTTGTCTGTGTATTGTGGTACTAATTGATTGTAAATAGTTAGGGTTTTGCAATTATGGATTTTCCCCCCATCTTTTCTGATGTTTGTGTTGACTTATGTTGCGGCGATTTGTAATTAGTTGTGCAATTAATCTTAATTTGTAATTAGTTGGGTAATTGTGCAGCAGGCTGTATTCTCTTGTGGCTTATGTTTAGGGCATTGGTGGTTTCTTTTTATACCTTTTCGCAGACGTAATTTCGTCGAATTTTCTGATTTTAAAAACCTAAATTCACTGTTTCAATGGAGGTTTCTTTGAGTTTAGACAATTTCAGGTTTTGATTAATTTTCTGAAACGTGTACTCTTTTTTTTTGTTCCCTGTTTTTTTCTGTTCAAACAGTGAACTGAACGATGGTTGTGAAGAAAATTATCACCATTTGTCAGTCGGGCGGTGAATTCGAGACCGACGCTGACGGTGTAATCTCTTACAAAGGCGGCGATGCTCATGCAATGGAAATCGATGATAAACTGAAGTTTAAGGATTTGAAGTCGGAGGTTGCGGAGATGTTCGGTTGCAATCTCGGAACTGTGGCCGTAAAATATTTCCTTCCTGGAAACAAGAAAACCCTAATCAGCATTTCCAACGACAAAGACCTTAAACGCATGATCAAGTTCCATAACGATTCCGACACAGCCGAGATATATGTTGTCACAGAGGAAGTTGCCGCTCCTGATGTTTCCCAGATGCCAGGCAGTAGGTATATATTTATATTTTTTTCCATCAAATGAATTAGAATTTAGAACAAGGTACTTCAAATCGGGATTTAAATCGTAAAATCATAGTGGAATCGCGATTTTTTTGCTCGCAAGTCCCTTCAAATCGGCAGTGAAATTGCTATTTTCTTTTTGCAATTTTAACGATTTCAATTTTAGTCGAAAGTCGGGCTGAAATTTTTAAGCTTGGCTTCGATCAAATTAGGTATATTTATCTTCTTTCTTCCATCAAATTTTAGCGTTTTTTTTATTTTACTACCCCTCTCCGATTCAACTTAAAATCCCGATTTTGACTACCTTAATTTAGAAACTAAAGAATTCTTTCTTGCAGGTCAAGTAGGACAACCTTGTCAGAAGCTGGGGTTGGGGTTCCTGTTGAACCTTCCCGAAGTACGATAAACAATATAGTTGATGACATAAACGAGCCAGACCCACTCGTCGATTCCACATTCGATGTGGTCGGTGACACTAATGTTTCCACCGAAGTGCCTGTACCTAGTGATTTTCCTACTCCAATTGCTTTTGCCAGTCCGTACGACGAAAAGCTCGCCAAAGCCGCACAACAATGGCAGAACAATATAACTGGCGTCGGCCAAAGGTTCAACAGCGTGCACGAATTCCGCGAGGCGCTGCGGAAGTACGCAATTGCCCATCAGTTCGCTTTCAAGTACAAGAAGAACGACAGTCATCGTGTCACCGTAAAATGCAAAGCGGAGGGCTGTCAGTGGAGGGTCCATGCTTCGAGACTTTCCACCACTCCTTTGATATGTATCAAGAAAATGAATCCAACTCATACGTGCGAGGGTTCAGTTTTAGCAACTGGTTATCAAGCTACGAGGAGTTGGGTTGCTAGTATAATTAAAGAGAAGCTGAAAGTATTTCCGAATTACAAACCGAAGGATATTGTGACTGATATTAAAGAGGAATACGGGGTGCAGTTGAATTATTTTCAGGCGTGGAGGGGAAAAGAGATTGCTAAGGAGCAGCTTCAGGGTTCGTATAAAGAGGCGTATAGTCAGTTACCGTATCTATGTGAGAAGATAATGGAAACGAATCCTGGAAGTTTGGCTAGTTTCGCCACTAAAGAGGATTCGAGTTTTCATCATCTATTTGTTTCTTTTCGTGCTTCTTTGTATGGTTTCGAACAAGGCTGTCGCCCTTTGCTGTTTCTTGATAGCATATTCTTGAAGTCAAAATACCAAGGCTCTTTGCTGGCGGCAACAGCTGCCGACGCCGATGACGGGTTTTTTCCGGTGGCTTTCGCCATTGTAAATGTCGAGTCCGATGAGAATTGGAAGTGGTTTCTGCAGCAGCTCAAAACCGCACTGTCAACTACTCCTCGAGGGTTGACTTTTGTAGCCGATAGAGAAAAGGGTTTGAAGGAATCGATCGCCGAAATTTTCCAGGGTCAAGAAGTTTATCATGCGTACTGCCTCCGTTATTTATCGGAGCAGCTTATAAGAGATTTGAAGGGGCAATTTTCTCACGAAGTGAAGCGAATCATAATCCAAGACATGTTCACTGCCGCTCACGCACCCACAGAACAAATCTTCTATAAATGTGTCGATAGCATAAAGGCAATTTCTGTGACGGCGTACAACTGGATAATGCAGAGCGACCCCACACACTGGGCGAACGCATTCTTCCAAGGCGCAAGGTACAACCACATGACGTCGAATTTCGGCGAGCTTTTCTACAGTTGGGTATCGGACGCACACGAATTGCCCATCACTCAATTGGTGGACGCAATCCGGACCAAGATTATGGAATTGGTATATTCCCGCCACATGGAGGCGCTCGATTGGATGAGAAGGTTGACCCCCTCGATGGAGAAGAAGCTCGAGAAAGAAAATCTCAACGTTAGGGCACTAGAGGTTGTATCGCTCGGTGATAGAATCGAGGTCCGCTTTGAAAATTCTGTTCAGATAGTTAACGTTGACAGGTGGGAGTGCAGTTGTAGGGTTTGGCAGTTGACTGGGCTGCCATGCTGTCATGCAATTGCGGTTATTATGTGTTTGCAGCGCGACCCTTATGATTTTTGCTCGAGGTATTTCACGACTGAGAGCTATAGGTTAACTTATGCTGAGACGTTGAATCCGATTTCGAACTCGGATGGTCCTATGTGGCAGAAGGGTGAGTCGACTCAGATAGTGACTGTAACACCTCCTCCAACTAGGCGTCCACCTGGCAGGCCTACGACTAAGAGGGTTAGTTCGCAAGAAGTAGGGAGAAGGCAACTGCAGTGCAGTAGATGCAAGGGTATCGGGCATAACAAATCTACTTGTAAAGAATTTTTATTGGAGTGCTAGCGTTGCTATGTGTAAGTATTATTATCGTATTGCTTTTTTGCAGAAGTATTTTTTTTTTTTTTTTTTTAGATTTTATTATCGTTTTTTGTGGTCGTTCGACATACTGTGACCGTTTTTCTTCTTCTTTTTCATCTGACCTTTAATAAGAGGAAGGAAGGTAATTTAGTGCGTCTATATTTCTCATTGGCTGTTTTTCCGTCGCGAGTTTATTCATATATTTATGGTCATTGTAGTTTTGCAGTTGCCGAGCATATATATTTGTAGTTTTCGGTTAGTTAGACGACTCGGTTTCTTTTGTCTGCTTTGAATCCAAACTTTTAGTACTCACTGTCCTAGTTCCTTTTCTTTGTCATGTATTTGCATGAAGTGAGGAGAAAGTATTACATCTGATTCGTCGGGTTTCTATAGTATGTTGTTTTCCTACCCGAAAGCGACACTTTATTCCAAAAAAATAAAAAAATAGGAGTACAAATTATTCAAGATTCTGGTTTGTTGTATGCTATCGAGTGATATCATACCATACATGAATATCGATTCATCCATATTGTTACGCATATCCACACGTGTGTGTGTGATTGTGTGTAAATTAAGATGAAATTTTTATCAAATTATTTTAGGTAAATTACAACCACCTCCCTGAAGTAAAACCACTTATGAAAAAAACTTTATTTTTTGAAATTACATCTAGAGTGCTGCAGTTTGTAAATTTCTTATATCCACCCTACAAGAGCGTGCTAACATAAGAAATTTACAAATTGCAAGGGGTGGATGTAAGTATGGAAAAATTAGAGGTTTTTTTCGTAAATAGACCTTACCTCAGGCGCTTGGTTGTAATTTACTCTTTATTGTACTAGATGTAGCATTTTCAAGACGATGATTTGGTAGCATCTCACATGGAATTATTTTGTCACAAGTGACTGATGATGATAGTTTTAATAATAATAAAAAATAAATTAATAATAATAATAATAATAATAATAATAATAATAATAATAATAATAATAATATCAATGACAAAATCACAAAATATCGACACGCTTGAATTTTATTTGCTGTACTTCGTGCAGTACCATTCACAAGTTTCAGTTAGTGCATAAGATGTACTTACGAAGTACCATTTTTCAAAAAAGTAATCTGCTTTCAAAATCTTTACGACAACTAAAAGTAGCACATGTCTTTGTTTTAAAATATTGACTTATGGCTTCATTCAGATTGATTGAATTATTTTAATTTCAAAATAATTATATCATGTATATAAGTTATGTTGTACATTTTTCTTTTTTTAAATTTGGAAAAATGATTTCAAATTACTCGTGATATATATATTTTAAATTTGCGCAATATTCTGAAAATAAGAAAAGATTTAAATTTGGCCGAATGAAAGATAAAATTATTATGCATACACTTTAAATTCGTAGTATACATAATAAGGTTGGAGAAACGCTCGAGTTCATATTTGAAATTTTTATGTCGAGTTAATGAGTTTCAATTTTATATGTATCTCATTTTTTTTTAATGCAATAAGAAATCTAAAGTAGTGATAGATTATATGGAATAAAAGTATTTTTTTTAAAAAGAGACAAATATTATAGAACGTATGAAGTATTAAGCTGAGAGGGACATGTTATAAAATTTAATAAAATAAAATGTTGTCGTCCTTATTAATGAGTTTAAACATTCTGTAAACTCTAAACAATTTCCCATGATTTTGAAATATAATTAAAGATTAAATCTGATTATTAGATTAAAGATATCTGATTATTAGGAGAGAGAGATGTACTAGCTACCAAGTTGAAGTACATAGAAAGGCAAGAAGCATGAGAACAAATATGTCTTTGTACTAATTGTACTATAAGGAATGAGACCTTTGTTCCTCATGGTAAGCTAAAGTACAACTTGTACAAAAAAACAAATGTGTTACTAACCAATCCACAAACACAACCAATTGTATATATAAACAAGGCTTTCATGATTGATTTTCTTGCAAGATATTGACTAACACATTTTCTTTTTGTTCTAATTAGATTGCTTTTAATTTATCTTCTTCAAATAAATAAAGATATTGGGATAGTTAGGTATCGGTTTTCAAAATTACGTGTATGTATTCATTGGGAAACGGAATGAAGGAACACGCAGTTCAGATATTGAGAAAAAAACGGTAAGGAGATGAGTAAAGAAGAGGGTAGACGGGGACGAGACAGAGCACGGGATGGACCTTTCAACACCCATAGATGGTCTTGTTGTCCTTGCCATGCACTGCCTCTTCCCTGGCTTTCCTCTCTCTCTCTCTCTCTCTCACACACACACACACAAAAACATGTTCATAGCTTGGTTTGTTATTTTATATTTTGAACAATTTTTCTATGTTTTGGGAATTACATTGCATGTTTACTCAGGGCATTAAGAACTGGCAGTTTATTCTATGCTACATGATTCGGGCTATTTTGCCTAGGCCCAAAAATGCCGATTATCTAACATCTTAAACGCAGCCCACTTTTCACTCTTCTCTCTCTAGAGTTAATACAAATAAGAAGATAAGAAATGAGTGAACAATACACATAGATACATGAGAATACATGTAAATACAATGAGGAGGTGGACCTCGTCACTACACATCAAGTGAACTTCACGTGTATTGATAATTTTCATTTTCATATATATATATATATATATATAGTTATTTATTTATTTATTTACAGTGTAAAATTACCTGTTATATTTGACTCAAGAATTTAATTTGTAACGCCAGTTTGGTGATGGCTACAGCCTACCGCACCAAATTCTAGTGCAGCCTTATTGGCAACGGTATGCATTCATTTTTTATTTATTTTTTTCTTTCTAATTTATAAAAAGATTTAATGTCTATTTGTTAACGATAAATTTAAAATTGCTAGTTTATCAAAATGTATATATTTTTATCATCTTATTTTATGTTTATATCTTATTATATCTACATAAATATTTATATACGACTGATTAATTTTATCTACTGTTGTTTAGTATTTTATGTGCGATGTATTTTATATTATCCCGTGTGAACGTGTGTATATATATTATATATACTATAATATTGATTTACATGTGGTAGGTTTTGTTTACGGGCTATTTTCACATGGATCCGTTTTAGATAGTGAAATTACAAATTCACCTATTATTAGTCAAAAAATTACTCAAAAGTCATACCTTCCCTACTAGATGCCTCTGCTTAATCTGTTGGCTCCATCATTAAAAGAAATAGTGAATTACCTAATTTACCCTTTTGGGAGAAATTGACTCACTCTTTTATTGACTGAAATAACCCTTACAATTTGTTCAAAAAAAAAAAAAAAACCCTTACAATTTATTTTAGTTAAATTTATTTTAGTTAGAAGAGGTGTCTAACTAATAAAATAAATATATAAGGGGGCGTATTGTTATAATAAATTATCATAAGGTTGTTATATTATAATATTTATACCTTGAAATTATAATATATATATTCATATATTTATATTTAAATAATGATTTTCTAAATTATAAGGATAAGGTTAAAGAAAAATTGATATACATTTTTTAAATGCTAATTTTAATGTTTATATTTCTAAATTGAGGTGGAGACAGCTCTCCACCTCCTCTAACCTCGGGCGGGTAGGTTTGTTCGACTCCGAGTCGCATATTCGGGCCGCGGCCGTGGTCGTTGATGCTGAAAAGCATAGGAGAAGAGCTATTGCAATCAGTAGCTTAAGAGTGGATTCGTTGATTTTTTTTTGTGTGTTTGTGTGTGTGTGTGTAAGTAGCTCGTTTTTTGTTGTGAAAAATTGAAGAATTGAATGAATTGGTGAGCATCGTAGGATAGGGGAGGTGAAGGGAGATAAATGGAGAAATACAAGAAGTTATGGTATGAGTATTAAATAGGTAATTCCTATTTGTTAATTTTTCCTCTATTTTTCGTCAATTGTTGTTGTCTTTTTTTTTTCCCCTTACAATTATAAAAAACGAGGGTAAAAGTGACATTTCACATGCTCCGTTTGACATTGTAAGCAGAAGCACCTAATAGGGGAGGTTTGTGCATTTATTTTAAACTAGAAAGGGAAACGGTATGTAATTTCACTATCTAATACAGGTCCAACTAAAGTTAAGCTTTATTTTATTTAAAACATTAGATGATTATTATAAATTTGAAACAAATTAATTTTGTTGTTTTTTCTAAAGGTGGAAAGTGGTTTATTTTTCAATTCTTGGAATCAAATTGGATAGGAAAATAAAATTTTGAAACAAATGGTCTTCACTAATGGAAGGTTCTCACGTTCCATCGATACGTCACATTGATCGTTTTATTGTACATTTATTGTACACTAATGGAAGGTTCTCACGTTCCATCGATACGTCACATTGATCGTTTTATTGCACATTGATCGTTTTATTGTACATTTTTTTCGTGTCAAACTGTTTTCTAGTGTTGTCTTTGTTAAGTTTGTTTCGTATATCAGTCTTCTTGTAGTTGAATCCCCAAAATCCCCAAGTTTTTGGAATGCTCCAAACTCTATTTATATCAATTTCAGTTTGAGTTAATATTCTGTTAAATATTGCAACAATTGATAAAACAAAGATAAAATAGACACAAATGTTAATATGATTCATATACAAACGTATCCTACTTCACAGGGACCTGTATCTGATTTCATTTTACGAATACAATAATAAAACTTATTCAAACCAAGGTTGTAAAAAGCGGTAATCGGATCAGAGGCGATCAGGGACCGACTCACGATTAATCGGTGCGGTGGTGATTAATTGGTGATAAATTGAAAATAAATCGGTTTTGAAAATTTAATATAATATATTTCTAGATATTATTTATAAATACTCAAAACATATATAAAAATATATTTAAACATAGTTATATCTCTATCATGTATATATCCTAATAACATAATAAAAGTTTAATAATAATAAGATCATATTACTGATACGATATATATTTAATATATCGTATATTTATTCATTAGTTATTATTTTATTATTTAATATATATTATTAAGTATTAATTTAGTTAGGAGCCGTAGGTTTAGTGGTTATAGGATAGATATTAAGTATTTTATTAGTATAGGTCATTATGTTTTCTAGTTAGGTTAGGATTCTAGGGTTTTATTCTCTTTAAATAGTCGTATTGTGCTAGGGTTTTATAATGAAGAGAAAAATATTAAAGAATAGATCTTACGTTTCGTAGGAAATATTTATGATACACAAGAGATCGTATCAATTGGTATCAGAGCGAAGTTGCGATAACACCAACGCTTCGTTAGCAAAGCAGAGATTATATCAAAGCTAAGCTGGAGCAAAGTTGAGATCACATCAAAACTTTGTGAAAATCATGATGTCCGAAACAAGACGGTTAGAGCGATTGGAGAAATCCGTAGAGAGATTACGGATTGATTTTCAGAAATTGCTCGAACAAAGTCACAGACGACGTCAACACCAACACAAACGTCGAAGGGACCGCCGCCCATTACCGCCAACGCCACCGCCGCTGCCGCTGCCGAGCCTAACGCCGGAGGAAGAGGAAGAGGACGATGATGATTTTTTCAAAGAGCCACCGCCGCCGCCGCTGCCGAGCCTATCGCCGGAGGAAGAGGAAGAGGACGACGATGACTTTTTCGAAGAACCCCAATTTTTTGTGAGTTCGCCAGAAGAAGAGGAATCGGATTCAACTGAGATGAAGTGGGACGAAGAGCCGAAAGAAGAAGAATCGGAGTCAACCGAGATAAAGTGGGACGAAGACGAGAAATTAACCAGAGAGGAGAGCGAAGAGTTACTATGGATATTGGGAGATTTCCATGGTGTTCAAAAGAAAGGAGACGAAGAACCGATGGTCAGTTTGGAGGAGACAAAATCTACAAAGACGATTGAAAAGGTTTATTTGTCGGGAAAAAGATTGAATATTTTCGCTAAAGTAGCCTTTGGAATTTCGTTGGATCAGCATGAACAATGTATTAAAAAGCTCGGTCGTTCATCGTGTTTTTTGGAGTCAATCGGGAAGCAAGTCAATGAAGTCAAACATAGGTGGAAGCGCAAAGGAGAGGGATCAAATTAACTCGAACCTTGAGGACAAGGTTCATTTCAAGAGGGGTGGTTTGATACGATATATATTTAATATATCGTATATTTATTCATTAGTTATTATTTTATTATTTAATATATATTATTAAGTATTAATTTAGTTAGGAGCCGTAGGTTTAGTGGTTATAGGATAGATATTAAGTATTTTATTAGTATAGGTCATTATGTTTTCTAGTTAGGTTAGGATTCTAGGGTTTTATTCTCTTTAAATAGTCGTATTGTGCTAGGGTTTTATAATGAAGAGAAAAATATTAAAGAATAGATCTTACGTTTCGTAGGAAATATTTATGATACACAAGAGATCGCATCAATTACATAAACATCCTTATAAAATATAAATAAAAAGGCATTTTTTTTGAATTTACATTTATTCTTGAACATTCCTAGAATACATCATTAGTTCTTTATTAATAACAGTTAACATAAACAAAATAAAGCACAAAACTCATTTCTTTTTAATTAAAATCCCAAGTTTTATTTTGAATAAAAAAAAATGATTTTTGACCGATTTTTGCCACCGAAATTTGACCCGCCTTAAAGGTTTGACCGCCTCAACCCGCCTCACAGGCAAAAAAACCGATTTTTCAAACATTTACACTAAAATCGTAAAGGTTTTGGACCGTCTCCGCCTCGGAGACCGATTAATCGGTCACATCGGCCGATTTTTAGAACACTATTCAAAACTAGAGACTCTCACTTCATTAACGTCGTTCTTGTATAATACTCGAAATTATGATCTTCAATTTGAAGTATGTCCTCCACTCCGCAGAGTTAAATACCATTCAATGTTGAACACTGTCAGTCGACGTATTGACCTCCTCCCGAGATCTTCCAAGTCCCTCCCCCAAAGAAAACTAACCTTGTTTTTGCTTGAAAAAAGTAAAAATTTGATTTGTAGTGTAAAACACTTTCTCGTTCGTGGAGCAGTTATGCCTTTCTTACGGATATATCATATATGTAAAGAAAACATAGAAAATCTTGTATGCCTTATCTTGTAAAATCTTGTAGCAATTTATGACAATAAATAAAAAGGACTGATGATGCTAATTACTTAGATCACCTGATGTAGTGTAGAAAACGAGCTGGGAGAGCAAAGCGGATCAGTAGCTTGACAACTTGATGATCCTGAGGTCCCTGCGAAATGAGCACAAGTGAACTAAGCCGCAGGTTGATCCGGCGGAAACCCCTCCGACGCTCAAGTCAGATATCTAGATCGTGGAGATGGTAGAGAGAATATGAGCTCTAGAATATTTGTGAATAATAGAACCTACCCTAATGATCGAGTTCAAACCTTTATTTATAGCTTAGTTGAGATTTTCGGGCCCAAACCTTACTTGAAGGTGACTGGGCCTCGGTGATAGTGGTCTTCAATATTGGGCTTGTGGCCCAGTAAGTAAATAATTTATAGGCCCATTAGGTTCGCCTAATTAGGCATATCAAAGACCATATGTACTAAATATCTTATTTTGTTTCACGGTTCCAAGACTTGTAGACCAAGTCAAAACTGGAGTTTTGAGATGATTAGAAATCCACAGGATTCTAATAGGGTTTGCTTACAGAATGCGATACCTAACTTGCAAGTCGGAGTGTAACAGTTATTGAGTGTATAAACTACACTCAATTATATGTACTATAGGTTGGATTTCTGTGTGATTTGATACAATAAATGCGTTGATATGTTGTTTAATTGACTATGTAGGAGAAGAAAGAGAGTTCGAGGTTGAAGGAGGTAAGGAGACAGAACAACGTAAAAATCCGAGAGAACATGACGAAGATCCGTACTGCCTTATTAGACGTCAATCCAAGAATTGTGAAGGAATTTCACATCCCAGTCTGAGATGAGAAAAAACTGAGAATCTGCCTTACCGCGGTCTCATTTTTCAGTGCAATTTATAAGACCGCAGTCCGAGTGAATAAACAATAGTCTAGACTAGAGCCTGAGTCCACAGTATAAGAAAACTAATTGAAAATGAGACTGCAGTCGGAGAGCGAGATGTATTTTGTCCGAAAATTTACTGAAAACTTGAAACTTAGGCCAAAAATTTAGGTATAAAAAAAAAAGATTTCCAAGGCAAGTAGGGGACTCTTTCCACGAAAATTAGGAGAAATCTTGGAGAAAAAAGAGCGAGAAAAAGACGAGGAATATTTGACGATTCTTCGTCATAGTTCCTCTTTACTATTTTTATTGCCTTTCTTTGAACAACATAAGTAGCTAAATTCGTATTGTAGGAGTTCGTTAGAACCCTATGTGAGATTTGTTGGATTTAATTTATCTATTATGCAAGTTTTATGAATTATTTATTCATGAATTTGATCAATTTGTGATTTGTTTTTTTTGAAGTGATTGGCGAATTTCTTTAATTATTTAGAACTGCGGGTCGAAGAACTATAGAGCTAATTTATCTAATTGGTGTTCTTGGGATGAATATATGATAGAAATATACATTTATCTCTTGAGTAGCCGTAATTGAAATTTGTTCGATGCTACATGTTTTAATCTATGTACATAGATGTATCGTAGATTGATTATTCATGTTAGGGTTATAACTTACAGCAAATGTTGTTTATAATTAATCTAGTATTCCTAGTTAATAAAGTAATCATTAGCTTGTATGATTATGGGTATTATTTCTAACAAGTACAGAGAGGGGAAGACGATATCCTAGGTTACTTCAAATTTCAATGAATTCTCCATTATTTATTTTTTGCTATTTCTTTGTTTTACAATGTTCTAATAGCAATTATGACGGTCGATATATCGGCTGCAATATGCAATATCAGTATCGATTGTAAATTTTTACAATTTTGTTGATGCGGTTTGGAATATCGGTTTTTTTAACAGCGAGGCAGTTTGTAGTGGGTCAAACTGATATATGAGTCAATAAATCGGGTTATTTATTATTATTATTATTTTTCATTTTTGTTACGTGATGAGTACTTCGAATCTATAATAATATATAAATGATGGGATAGAATCATGTTTTAATATTATTTATATATATAGATATATATTGAGTATTTACAAATAATATTTAGTAATATATTACACTAAATTTATTTCTGATTAATCTTCGATAAATCATCGCTGCGCCGATTTATCGTGTGGTGGTTCTTAACCACCGCGAACCCAATAAGCGCAGAATCTTGGTTATTAAATTTTACGATTAATAAATCAAAACCACATTTTGTTACGTGGATAAGGATCAATAGTGATAATTTAGGTGCTTAGAAGTAGAAAATATTTTACTCCATTTGAGCTCGATATCCCGAGTTCCCGACTCACAAGTCCACTTTATTACATATTAATGATACGTTCACTTGCGTACATGATAAATCGCCAACAAGTTTTTGGCACGTGTCACATAGTGTTTTTAGTATATTTTGTAGGTAACAAGAACATTCATCACTCGTTCGGGCAATCAGAGCTCATGTGTAGTAACGTAAACTTGAAAATTCTCCAACTCGATTCCCAAATTACTCAAGTTGAATGGTCTCAAATGTCTGACAACTCACAGCAAGGGCTACACTGATACAAATTTTCAAGTGCAGGAAGACAAATCGATGCAATCGAGAGTAAAAGGAGTAAAGTGATACCGAGTCAAAGTATAAGGGGAAAAGTGAAATTTACCCTAATAATAATAATAATATAATAAAACTAGAAAAATGGATACAGCAAACGACACGTCTTCCCGAAAAGTTAATTACGGCGTCGTATCCATTTTAACTTTGCAATAATTCCTTCTCTTTCAGGAAACCCTAAATCAATCAAAAATCGGTGATGATGCTGATCAAACCAGACCCCAATTCTTCCGCCGCCGTGCCGGCGCCGACGGTGTGCGGCAACTGCCGCGTGGAGGAGCGGCTGCTTCTCCTCCACCACGTCCGCCACCGCAGCGTCTTCCTCCGCCTCTGCACAACCTGCGTCCTCCGCCTCCACTCACACAACTTCTGCCCCACCTGCTTCCAAGTCTACCCCCCTCCGCCGCCCTCCAACGACGGCGTTCGCAACTGCTCCAAATGCTACTCCGTCACCCACCCCCACTGCGCCGATTCCGCCGGCGGCGGCGGCCCCACATTCCCCCCCGCCTCCTACGTCTGCCCCCTCTGCCTCCACCCCGACAAGCCCGTATTCAAATTGAAATCAGCAAAAGAGGCAAATGTAGACATCGGCGGCGGCGATGATTGCACTGCGATGATGATGGACAGAGATTCCGCGAAGAAATTTATGGCCGCCGCAAAAATCGCGTCCGCATCCATGAACAGCGCGGCGGCGGCGGCGAAGGGAGAGGCGGAGAGACGGGCTAAGGAGGCGGCAGTGGCGAAGAGAAGGGCTAAAGAATCGTTGGAACACGTCGCTCGTTTGGTGGTGAAGGAGAAGTTGCAGAAGAAAGACGACGTTTTGGCGCCACCTGGCAATCCAACGGGCCCCACTCCAGGCGGCATCGGTGTGAAAATGGAGAGAGAATATAATAATAAGAGTTTAACTGTAGCTGTGGATGAGAAGATCGATAATGGAGCGGATAATTCGAATCAGGTATTGGAGGCACTGAATGCAGTTGAGTTGAGAGAAAATGAAGAAATCGCGAATGGAGAAAACGTTGGGGATTTGGATGAAGAGAGGAATAATGATAGTGGTAGCGATCAATTGAATTTTGTCGATATCGAGAGTGGTGATTTAAATATCCAGGAGGAGAAGTTGGAGGATGCGAAGAACGAGATTGAGTATACGCGCAAGGATAATGGAGTAGAATCGAATGGTAATAATGCCGCTTTATAGTTGATAGATTTTTTACTTTATATAACAATTTTCGAGATTCGATTTATTTGTCGTGATATGTTTGTTCCCGCCTTTTCGTGTTTTTGTTCAAATGCTTGGTGTTTGTTGGAGTTAAACATGATACTGTTGTGGTTAGTAAGTGATAAAACATGTGAATTGTCTGTAGGAGTCCGATCATGTGATTTTCTTGATTCCTTTTATCGGTGTAGACTAAATTGTTCTGTAAAGATTATTATATGTCTGCTGTAAGAGATGGTATTTCGTGGCAGTTTGTGTCGGTTCGTATTTGGGTTTTTGGGTTTCGGGTTTCAGTTTTGTTAATGTGAGGCGTCCGTAGACATGACCACCGGTTCGGTTAGAACCGGAACCAGAACCGAACCAGGGTCAATGGTTTTAGAACCGAACCGGAACTGATTTGTCTAGAACCGGAACCGGAGAGAAAACCGGTTCGGTTCAGGTTCCCCATTTTCGAAACCGAGAACCGACGGTTAGAACCGTGGTTCTAAACGTTCGATTTTTTTTTTTAATTAAATTATTTAAAGTTTAACTTTAAAATTTAAAAATTAAGTGCAAGCCCTTTCAAGTTCTTTCATTTTTCTTTTTTAATTTTTAAAACTAAAACTAATTCCTTCAAATTTTTTAAAAGTAAAAAAATATTTTTTTTGAAGTATTTAAAAAAAAAAAAATTTTAAGTCTTTGAAGTATTCTTTCCTTTTTTTTTTTTAGATTAACTATTTTTTAAGTTACATATAATAAAAAATAAATAATAAATAAAGTCAAAACCGGCCGGTTCTAACCCCGAACCGTATAGAACCGAACCACAAGGAACCGGAAATATTTGGTTCGGTTTCTATTCCTCCAAAATCGGATCTTGAAACCAAACCGAACCGTGGTCATATCTAGAGCGTCGGTAACGATTTCAATGTGTTTCAATTTATGTCTCCAAATTCAGAATTTAAAAGGCGTACTGTATTTGGTTCACTTGACAGAGTTAGATTGATGCAGCAATGCAACATTCCTGCCTTTGTTGAATTAGGTGGCTTTCCTTTTCTGCTAAGATCTCAAATCTCAACTCATTGTTTTGTTAATTGTGCCATTTGAGATGCCCCTCAATTTTTTTTTTTTTATTAATTTTAAATCATTAGCTCAATATAGTATAAACACTAACGGTGTGAATATTATTAATTAATCAATATTATCTAGTTATTAATGTGTAACTAATATAGTTATTAATGTGTAACTAATATATATATATGTATATACGGTTATGTATATGTATGTATTTATATACACACTATACAATATAATACAATATACTACACAATATAATATAATATAAATATATTTGTATATAGAGAGAAAGTTTGTGAGTAGAGAGTGTACGTGTGAGTGTGGGAAGAGAGAGAGAAAGTAGAGAGAGATAGAAATGCTAGCAAAAGGTGTATTTTTCTATTATTCATTTCAACACAAAATACAAGTATTTATAGGCATGAGAATGCCTTAGTCACCATTACACATGTCATTACTTGGTAACTTCTATAGTTTAATTTTGACACCTATCTAGGATACTTGTCATACTATAAATTAAGTGCTATAGTCCATAATATTATAACACTCCCCCTTGGACGTAGCACTATTGTATCGACTGAATTAATGCCTCATTAAAAACCTAAAGCCGGAAAACCCAGTGGGAAAAACCGATCAGAAGGAAAAAAGAGTGCATGATTCAAATCCAAGTCGTGTGCATAAGCTGCCTCGTTAAAAACCTTAGCTGGAAAACCCAATGGGATGAAAAACCAGTCATAAGAGAAAAAGAGTGCAGTGCACTATTGCTCCCCCTGAAAATAAGCAATATAAGCCCCCAATATGGGCTATCAATCAATTTGTAGGTTGTCTCATTAAAAACCTTGAGCTGGAAAACTTTATGGGAAAAAACCAGTCAAAAGGAAAAAAGAGTACAACACATCATAGCATTATGTGCTCTCCCTGAAGCAAATAATATAGGCCTCCGAAATAGGCTATTTAAAAATTCATAAGTTGCCTCGTTAAAAACCTTATGTCGAAAAAACCGCATGGGAAAAGAAGACCGAACAAAAGGGAAAAATAGTGCAACATATCATCGTTGTGTCTTTGCTTTACACATTTTAAATCCGCGAGTATAACAAAATTCAGTGAACCATAAAGATGACATTAGAATGTCTGTTAGACATATGTACATTCCCTCATGGACAACCCTAAGAAACGAAAATTGATAGTATTCATAACCAGTAAATACATCTAATATAATCATTCCCATACACTCAGATGAATCAATATTTTTCATGGCACACATTATACCGAATAATTTTGTTGTTATTATTCCTCTAACGAACAAAACCCCATTTATCCAGGGAATTTATATTGTTCGGAGTTGGTACCATTAGTCTGTATTTATTTCGTTTCTCTAGGAAAGCCAATTCTGATTTAATCGCTTTCTCGCATTTAGGCCAAACTCGGCTCTGTCGACATTCTATTGTTTTGAAGGTGTTTCACTGGCATAATCATCCCGAAAAATTATAATTTTCCGTTTTGAGAGATTAAGCTCTACAGAATTATCTGGAGCATGTTTATTAAGACCCATTTATTCAGTGGATTCAATTAATCCATATGAGTGTGAGCGTGTGCTACAAGGTACTGAGTATATTTATCCCATGTACTGCACAATCTTATCAAAATTATTTTGATCGAGTTTCTTTGGCACTATCTCTTATTATATGCCCGGGGTATAGTAACTTGTGCGAAAAATGTGCAAAACCATATTGCATGTATATAATAAACACACGCGAGACCATCTATAAGATGCTTCTCACAAAATCATTAATATTTAAGATATTGGTCCACTTGAAAGGTTGTATTGGTCCATAAATATTATCAACCCTTTTGCACTAAAGGTTATAAAACGAGATTTCTATAAATTACAGAAATTCTCTTCGGACATAAGGATCCTTATATCGTACGAATGTCCGTAGTATATTCTTTATTTCTAGCCACCTTAATATTTTATGGGCGTCCCCATATTAACACGTCAAAACCTGAATATTTCAGGATTAACCAGTTTATATGACATGGTGGTGTAATAATTGAAAACTCGAATTAGGATACAATAGAATATAAAGCTAATGCTTTTAATATCATAAGTAGAACAATTGTTTATTCCCGGAGCCATAATCTCTACGGAAAGTAATTTAGTTTTACTTCGTGCTTTGCGCAATATCACACTCAATAAAATTTAGAATATATTAAATTGTCACTTAGACTAATACATCGTCCAGGGAGATATTTAAACTCAACCTCGGGAATATATATTCAGGGGAGATATGCAAACTTTACTTCATGAATATGTCATATGAAGGAGAACTTCTAAAATTCGACCTCGTGAATATGTCACTCGAGGGTGATATGTAGTTTATCTTAATTTCGGGAACTAGTCCGAGAAAGATATATAACTCAATTTCAAAGTTCGAGATTATAATATATAGACAATAGTCTATTATGTTTGTGTTTCACATGTACATCCATATTAAATAACATGTTAATAAAATGCTAACTCAATCTTGGGAATTTAACATCCAAGAGAGATATATGATTTCAACCTCGAGAATTTCTCATTCGAGGAAGTTTGCGAACTCGATCCCGGGAATTTAACATCCGAGAGAGATATGTACATGATACACAATTAGTAGATATGTCGAATTAACTTTGAAATATTACCAATATCATCAGGGGTGTATAAGCTCGACCTTGGGAATATTTCTTCTAAGGGAGTAATATTAAATCAAACTTGGGAATAAATTATCCAAGAGAAATATGATCTTATGTTTCATCGATGGATATTTATAAGCTCGACATCGAGACTTTAGGGGATTTATTTGAGCTCAACCTTAGGAATGTATCGTCTGAGGGAGATTTTATAAACTCGATCTCGGGGATATGTCTTCCGAGAGATATATAAATTTTATCTTAGAAATTAGCTCAATCTCGGAAATAAAATCATCCGAGAGAAGTATTTAAATTTGACGTCATTTATATTTATCTCGAGAAAATATTATAGGCTCAACCTCGGGTATATATCGTCCGAGGGAGGTAAATAAATTCAATCTCGAAAACCATTACATCGAGAGAGTTATATCGTAACCATTAAGAATATTATCATGCATGATCTCAAATATATAACCTTTACTCATGGCCAAAATATATTTTGTAGGCAATAAACTCATGAGTTTTAATTTATTTTGACCAAATGATTATTTTAGCGGAAATATTTACATCCACTTTGGTCAATTTAAAAACATCTTGACGAGAACTATCTTTCACATCATCGTTGTAGGTCTAACCCCATATTTAATTTTATAATGGCCTTTAAATCGACCATTAACAAAAATGTCCATCGTTTATATGGGTACTGCACCCAATTATTTTTATTTTAATAGCCTCATTCGCCTTGAGGGGAATCACAACTTTTAGTGATTCTACGGGCATCACACCCGGAGTTATATTTATGGCTTCTATATCGGCCATTATCGGGGACTACAACGTCCACCATCTCTACGAACATTATGTTCGGAGTAATTATCGCAGCCGTTAAATGGACCCTTAATTTGGACTCCTATGCGACGGAGTCATTTTCATTTCTATTATCTAAATCAGCCCATTTTCTTTTGCTAATTTAAACAAGATTATTAAATAAATAGATCGAAACTTGCACATGCCAATTACATGTTTCTAAATTTACAAAATCAAAATCATGTAATGCAAGTTGAAAATTCATAGTCGAGGCGAGAGATATTAATCTTTTTTTTTTCTCAACATGCACATAATTATAGATATATATACTTTCTTTCCTCTAAAAATCGGTGGCGTATAAAATATCGTAGTATTCGCTTCTGCTTCACCATTTGACATCGAGGATCTGGATTTTATCAAATAAAATAACATAAACAAACTTACATAACCTACCTTCTTCCGAGCAGAACCTCGTGCTGATAACGTGTTGTGAAATAATTCCCATTAGCTAATGTATATAGTGCAGTATATATATAGTTAAAATATATGTATATCTAATACACTATATAATATATAATATAAATATATGTGTAGAGAGAGAGTGTGTGCGTGTGAGTGTGTGGGTAGAGAGATAGTGTGTGATGAGAGAGAGAGAGAGAGTAGAGAGAGAAAGTAATTTTATTAATTGTGAATATTTTTACACGGTAGTATAAGAATTGGGAGAAC